TGATCAAGGAGATCAACGAGATCATAGAGAGTGCTGGATTTACATTAAGGAAATGGATTTCCTATTCGGCGGCGGTTCTGAAGTCGCTACCTGAAGTCAGCATTACCGCAGTACAGATACAGTTTCCGGATGAACGCAATTCGGTGAAAGCCCTGGGAATTCATTGGATTCCGGACATAGACGTCTTCACACTCAAGGTAAATCTGCAGATTGATGGTCCCAATACGAAGCACCAGCTATTGTCGGATTCCGCCAGGCTGTTCGATCCATTCGGGTGGTTTGCGCCGGTCATCATTCGAGCTAAAATTCTATTTCAACATTGCTGGTTGTATGACTTAAACTGGCACGATCCATTACCTCCTGTCGTTGAAGAAATGTGGGTCGATTTGAAGGCAAACCTATACCACCTGGAGAAGATCAGGATTCCAAGATGGGCAGCGAATTACGACAACCACATCGAATTACATGGCTTTTCTGACGCTTCTGAGGAGGCGTACTCAGCGGTCGTGTATCTCAGGTCCGTTGATCGCAACGGTGAGGTTCACGTTAGTCTACTTGCAGCGAAAACCAAGGTCGCTCCTGTACCACGTCTCGAGCTTAACGCAACTGAATTACTTGCAAAGCTGTTGAAACAAGTTGCTGAACCTCTCAAACGCTTCCAGGTAGACCAGTTTGCCTGGATGGATTCGACCATAGTCCTGCAATGGCTGTCAGGACATCCGCGTAAATGGAACACTTACGTGGCTAATAGAACATCTTCGATACTTGAGATTCTTCCACGTAAGCATTGGGATCATGTTGCATCGACTGAAAATCCGGCGGATTGTGCTTCCCGTGGGATATCTCCTACAGACCTAGTCGATCATCCCCTGTGGTGGACAGGACCGAAGTGGCTAGCGGAGGATTCCGCAACCTGGAAACGAAGTGTCTTGTCCGTAGAACACGATGAAGCTACACTGGAGGTACGTAAGCGATTCCAATTCCTAAACATTTCTGTTAGCGTTCCAGTAACGACGTACGAAATCGAGAAGCAAATCCTCAATAGTCGATCGAGCTTCGGTGCATGCGTGAAGCGGTTTATCTACAACCTGGGATCGAAGGCATTAACACGCTACGAGAAACGTTCTGGTCCTATTCTGCCATCCGAGTTGCAGGAGGCCAGGTTGCAGCTCGTCAGACTGGCCCAGCACGAACACTACGAAGAAGAAGTCAAATCGTTGGCAAAGGGGAGCGAAGTCCTTCTGAAATCCAAGATCTGCGGCTTGTACCCATTCCTTGATGGTACCGGCACGATCAGAGTCGGTGGACGCCTGCAGCAATCGTCGTTTCCTTTCGAAGTCAAGCACCCAGTTATTCTCCCGAAGAACCATCGTCTTACGAGATTGCTGGTGGAAGAGATGCATTTACGGAACTGTCACGCGGGTTCCACACTCTTGACAGCAACAATCAATCAGACCTACTGGATCCAAGGCTGCCAACATGTCATCAAGCAAGTGATCCGGAATTGCGTCAAGTGCTGCCGACAGAAAGCGAAGATGTCGCAGCAATTGATGGGAAGTCTACCAGCGGCGCGCGTAACAGCATGTCGACCGTTTAACCATGTTGGAGTCGATTATGCCGGCCCGATACTGGTACGATGTAGCAAAACTCGCGGTGAACGTTGCTCGAAGGGATATATCGTCGTTTTTGTGTGCCTCTCGAGCAAGGCAGTTCACTTGGAAGTCGCAGGTAACCTGTCTACGGATACTTTCTTGGCAGCATTCAAGCGGATGATCCCGCCATCCAGTCCACATCAAGTTGGCATTTGGGAAGCGGCCGTCAAAAGCGCGAAAAAGTTGCTGCGACCGGTCGTTGGAAACGAGAAGCTGACATTTGAGGAACTAAAGGGTGATACGGTCAAAATTTGGTCAAGGGAAAACGCATGTAAATCGGTGAAATCGTTTATTTAAAAAATCAAATTAAATTTCTTTTTCAAGTTCAATTAGTATAAAATTCAGGAAAAATATTCAGTTAGGCTTCCGCTTTTCCAAATCCGAATTGCCGGGCCTTACGCTTGACCCCTGCCATCAGATTTTGTACAGCCACCTTGTCCACCTTCTTCGCCGCAGAAAGCCAGTTTGCCTTGAACTGCTGCACGCCCTTAGCAGTTTTTTTGGTCTTCTTTAGGTTCCGCTTGACAATAGCCCAGTATTTCTCAATTGGGCGGAGCTCTGGCGTGTTGGGAGGGTTCTTGTCCTTGGGAACCACCTGCACGTTGTTGGCGGCGTACCACTCCATGGCCTTTTTACCGTAATGGCAAGATGCCAAATCCGGCCAAAACAGTACGGAACAACCGTGTTTCTTCAGGAAAGGCAGCAGACGTTTATTCAAACACTCTTTCACGTAAATTTCTTGGTTGACAGTCCCGGAAGCTATGAAAATGCTGCTTTTCAAGCCACAGGTACAGATGGCTTGCCAAACCAGATATTTCTTTGCGAACTTTGACAGTTTCATGTGCTTGAAAACATCTGCTACCTTTCCCCTTCCTTTTGCCGTATAAAACTCCTGTCCCGGAAGCTGCTTGTAGTCGGCTTTGACGTAGGTTTCGTCGTCCATTACCACGCAATCAAACTTCGTCAGCATCGTCGTGTACAGCCTCCGGGATCGCGCTTTGGCCGTCGTATTTTGTTTATCATCGCGATTTGGAGTCACTACCTTCTTGTAAGTCGATAGTCCGGCTCGTTTTTTGGCTCGATGCACGGTTGTAGACGATACACCCAGCTTATTTGCGGCATCTCGGAGAGAGAGGTTAGGGTTTCGCTTGAAACTACCGACAACTCTCTTTGTCGTCTCAGCGGCTTCCGGTTTTCGATTTCTCCCCGATCCAGACTTCCTGGCTGTCGACAAACGTTCCCCAAACACTTTAATTACATTTGTAACGGTTGATTTGGCAACTTTTAGCGATTTTGCCAACTTTGCGTGCGAGTAGCTCGGATTTTCGCGATGCGCGAGCAAAATTTTGATACGCTGCTCTTCTTGCTTGGACGGCATTTTGACAACTGAAGAGTGAATTCTAAAATCAAAATAGGAGCAACATTCTACACACACACACCTTCAAAATGAGGGGTGTTCAGGTTTTTTAAATGCAAAATTGAAAGAAATACGTCAAGTTGATATTGACCAAATTTTGACCGTATCACCCTTTAAGCAATATGAACCCTTTGGAAAGATTCTCCGAGTATGCATTGAATTAATTTCCGATTTCCTTTTGAATCTCACTCCTTTCCTTGGCATTCTACTCACATTGAAAGTCTCCTAAGAATTTATTGGCATTTTTCCACACAAATTCCGTCGATTTCTTTTCATAATTTGTTTGGCAAACTCTCCTGAATTTATTTTCCAAATTCCTTTGAAGATGTCCTGGAGTTATTCTTAAATTGAATTGTAATCCTCCTTTTAGTATTTTATTACTAATTCCAAGGACTTATGCTCTGGATTCGTTTTCTACCACAAACTTTATGAAATTATCCTCAGAATACCCTTGGAGTTTTCATTAAAATTTACTTTTAATACAAATTCAGGCTTCACATGAAATCAAAATTCATCAGAACTACCTTGAAAGCAGATAGCATTTGATGTTTTTATGAAAGATTTTTTTCGAGAACTCCCTTGGAATGAGGTCCTTAGAAATAATAATAAAATTCTACGGGCCTTTAAAACTGTGCATGGAATTTGACTCCAGATTCTTAAAACTTCTTAAGGTATTATAGTTCTTGTGTGCCATCATAACGGCTACTTTTTTTCTCTTATGTCACTTATTAGTTACTATTTTAACAACTATGGGACTTATTACGGATATCACTTCACGGTGAAAACTTGTCAATTGTCGTCACGGTGAAGTGATTCCCATTTGATTTGTACGGTAATCACGGCTCATATTCTGAGTATAACTTGCTTATCATCGTGTAGTGATACCCGTAATAAGGCCCTATAAGTCACTATTTGGTCACTTATTTCTTTAACATGGTCACTAAAATCACTATTTTTGACAGCAGTGATCTCTACCAGCCTTGTTGGTACATCATAGATTGGTATTTTTGCACCCAGTAAGTTTTAATTTGAGCAACTAAGAGTATCCAACAAAACAGACCTGAGCACAAATATAAAAGATATAACGCTTGCAGTTTTTAAGATTGGCAGTTGGTCTGAGTGCCAACTGTCTGTTGAGCACTTCGCTTACTGTTTGATTCGGAGATTTGATTTCATATTCACCTCTGTTCTGTGCAGTTTATTGGTTCACGACGTTTTATAAAATATTTCAAAATCAATACTCGTTGACAGTGCTTCTAAAAATACTGTGAAATAAATTTAACATCAAACATTTAAATTAACTTTAGCATTTTGCAAATGACCAGTACAGAAAATACCGGTATTTTCACTTGCCAGTACTGGTATTTCGGTACAAGAAAAGCACCCGGTATTACCGGTTCTACCGGTTCATAGCTATTGTGGGACATAGCGGTTCCAGCAATGAGATCCGCAAAAATGTGCTGCTAAATACAGATCATTTTGATTTGTCGGTTGTCGTCATCGGCAAATCGTTTGATTTTGATTCACGTGTTTAAATTGATGGAAGCGCGGGCAATTTAGCATGGCAATCGAACGCATGGAAGTGACGGTACTAATTAGCATTGTTTTCTAAATCGCTCAGGTACAATACAATTAATCCATATCAGATTCCAAAACAAATTTGTCCTATCAATCCAACCCAACCATAAATTCACATGTACAAAACGGCTGCGGTTCTTTGTTTAAACTATTAAATTACATCACGTTTCAGCTCACTCTGAGTCAGACGTGCTGTGCCATTCGCCCCGATCTGACACAGTGAGTCTCATTTAATAGGTACCTTGCATCAGACCGATACCTCTGAGGCCACACTTCTGATTAATTCAATTTTTCCATTGAAGCCAGCTGAACCTCGGGATTGCATTCGAAAGCATATAGAACTAGACAGTCGCTAGGCAAACGAGTCATTTCCATTTTATTGACATAATCTTAAATCTACTTATAGAATAGAAAACTTAACCGGTTAATACTAAATACACAAATGTATATAATACATCTAGAAGTCTAAAATATTACAAAGTGACGACCTTGGTCGCCGGCAAACCACTCTCAACTCATCAAGTCCATATTTATACATTCAGTTCTTTAGTGCCGCCTTCTCAGTAAACTTGTAAAAGTCCTGATGGGCTTCTTGGTAGTAGGGCGTCATCGTGTATCGCACCTTCTCGACCCAGGCCGCCAGCTTGGGACGACCCTGGAACGGATCCATTCCGACAATCTTGGGCTGCTCGATCTCGCAAGCGGCCAGAATGTCGGCAATCGTGATCCGATCGCCAATGATGAACCGCCCGGGGACGAGCCATTCACGCTCCAGCTGGTTCAGATTTTGCTCGACCTGGCGACGATACTCTTCGACTTTCTCGACACTCGAGCGGTCATCTTCCGCGTTTTTGAGAGTCCACTTTTCCTGTACGTATGCATTGAACACCTTTGAACTGTTGTCGTGCTGCCACTCGAGGTATTCATCGATTTTCGCTCGCACTTGATTGTCTCGCGGGTACCAGTGTTCCGGGATTAGTTTCTCTCTGATCAAGTACTTGAGGATGGTGACGCCATTGGACAGCTTGAACCCGTCGTCGATGATGCTCGGTACCTGCTGGAACCGGTTGACGCATTGCTTGTACTCATCGGTCAGATGTTCTCCTGAAAGAAGCGAGCGAGAAGAAGAAAGATGAAGTAAGTGACATGCTGATTTACTGACATGTTTTGGTGAAGAAATGGCCGTACTAAAAATAACATTTTTGTTTTTGGGGGCTCGCTATCAGACAAACAACGTCGTTCAAATCCGCCACCAACAATGCATGCGGTTGCCTAAAAAAATTGTTTTGTTTGTGTCGCTTCAGTTCGTTTTTTTTTTGCAGTTTCATGTCTGTTTTGTGACCGGCATATTGCAGAATAAATATATAATGGGTCGCGAATGACGCAAGTGGGTGCGACCCGGGAACTTCAACTCGGCGCACGATCGTTTTAGCTTTTTAGCTGGCCTGTCCATCGTACGTCAGTTGGGTGCTCGGGAAGAGGCAGGAATGAGATGAAGCGTTGCCATTGTTGTGTTGCGAGAGGAGATAAAACCTAGACTAACGTTTGAAAAGGGCGGAATTCCAAAATCACCTTAATGAGAAAAGCGCTTCCGAATTTTCGTTTGCCTATTAAAACATTATAATTCGTAGTTTTGGTGCAAGGCGTAACAACCAGATGCATTATAGAGGCGAACATTGGAAATACGCCGTGTAAAAGGAACCGTTTTTGATGATTTGAAATGATGTTTTCTTCTACTTTTTCGTGTTTATTGAGAGTACATAGTTTGTGACCTGTTCGCTCTATATGTGGCAAAATATGGTTTGTTTGCATTTTGGCTCTTCCGCCTCTTTCAAATGTTGGTCTAAAACTAATAATTGATTCAAGTGGGGGCTGGATCGCTGCATACGTGGCTAGCAACGAGACATGAATCGTTGACCGGCTTGACATTTTTAATTTGTGAATAAAAAGATAAACGGTTTATGGGATAGAAGAAACAACGATAAGATACAAGAAACGTCAATTGCGAGTATACCTATCTTTTAAGTACACAAATTTGGATGATGAGTATAAAAGTAGAACGATTTAAACTTATACAATCGTTCGTTTTGGCGTGAATATTTTCGAATTGCATAGCAAAATAAATCTACAGCTTCACCAAGGACTGTAATAACTGACAGAGTGGTGAATAAAATTTGTTCATCGGTAGAAGAGAAAATTGAACCAAATGCTAAGCCCAAGTTAGCGATATTGAAAGTTGATGAGGACAAGTCTATTATAATTAATTAGTAGTTCATAGCGAATAACAATAACTTCTTCTTATTCTTCTTCTTCTTAGAATGTCAAGCTTAATGCTTATCGCATTTTAGCTTATTGCGTGCTCTCAACTTAGTGTTCTAGATGCACTTCCACAGTTATTAATTGAGAGCTTTCGATGCCTGTACCATTTTTGCATTGATATGATTGTGTGGCAAGTCCAATCATACTTCTATGCCCAGGGAAGTCGAGAAATTTTCCAACCCGTAAAATTTCTAGACCGGACCGGGAATCGTGTGTACACCATCTCCGTCGATTTTAAACTCGCCATTAGAAGTGCAGGATGAAAACATTACCATAAAGGCCATTGCAGCCAATGGTACTTGAAGTGGAAAAAGTGTTGAACAAAAGTCCAGTGCGACAACAGGAGAAGATGAGGTCGAAAATAAAACGGAGCCAGGAAAGCCGATACGTCGTGCACTGTACGGTGCGGCCCGTAGAAGACTTCAAAAGCTAATGAAAGATGGGATGGACTATATGCTGCGGCCCGCCAGTACTCTGAAGAGGCTAAGAAAGGATCACGACCGCGCCAAAAGAAGCGAAGGAAAGCCTGTGCCTAAAAAAAATGTGAGGGTCGAGCATTGGCGTAGCTAGAAAATTTATCTGGAGGGGGGCTACGTTTCTCGATGATTTTCCGCGAAGTTCCACAAACAAAATTTCTACGAATTTTTCTGAAGATCTATGAAGTTCCACGAATTTCTACTACGATTCTTCAATTTGTTAGATGTTCCCCCCCTAAGAAGTCCTTGAAGTTTTACGAAGTTCCCGGAAGTTAAAGATCTCTGGGTTCATGGCCAATTTGTAAGGCCTGAAGACATCTTATTATGCCATCGATTAAATACCGATATAATATGATTTCTTAACAACTGGACTAGAACAGAACATAAGAAAAGTAGTCAATATAAGGCTTTAAAAAAAAATCTTTGTTTGTGGTGCAATTTTATTAATCGCTGTTAAATAGTAACATTGAAATTGACAAGCTTGAAAAAATATCAGCGAGTCAAAACAAAAAACACAAAAATATTCTGGGGTGGGAGAGGGTCTAGATAATTCTGAAGGGGGCCTGACCTCCTTGAAATCCCCAGTAGCTACGCCAATGAGTATCTGATGAAGGAAAAGATAAGTATACCGGCCCACCTGATAAGGTTAATTTGAACTTTGCTAACAACTCAAAGACTACTAATCGAAATGAGGGAATGAATGACAGGAACTCTATGAACCGTGGGCATCCAGATAATTGAAAAAACCTGCTGGGACGAGGAAGAGTAGCCCTCCCAGCACCAACATACAGTGACATTGCTTACAGGGTCAGGTTAGGGACTTTGCCTAAGAACTACCCTGCAGTTGAACTGTCAACTAATCAACAAGAAGTGGTTCAGGAAGCCCTCTTGTTGAAAGTTGTACAGCAACGTCGAAAACAGGTCAAACCTAAATTTAATTGTTGTCGGTTCAAGCCTGGGTATTTAGTGCTCACATGCCAGAACAAGGACACAGCTGATTGGGTCAAGGATAAGTTTCCATCCTTAGTTCTCTGGAAAGGAGCCGGTCTGGTTGTAGTGGACGAAGATAAAATCCCACGTCCTGAAGTGCTAATCGCGTTCTTTCCTTGGAGTGCTAACAATGGCACTGATATGATTCTGTCTTTCATTGAAAGTCAGAATGTAAATCTTTTTACTGATGCATGGAGGATTCTTCACCGCTATGTAAAGGGTGATCACATTGAATTTCCCCCTACAGTAGATGATTTTTCTTTGCGGAAACTAACGCAGAGATAGTTGGTTGTCAAGGGGAAGTTTACCACCACAAAAATAAAATAAAAAATTCCGGCATGTTTTAATTTTTCTAAAAAAATTGGGAAAAATTATCAAAAATCCACAAAAATCAGTGTTTTCTAATAGATTTCTGAGAAAATTTAAATGTTAAAATATTTTTTTTTATCTCACCATGAAAAAAATTGAATCCTCAGCAAAACCGGAAGGTCCAACTTTTTGCCATGATGACTTATAAAGATTGATTTTGAACGCGAACTTTCTTTGAACAATTAGAAAAAAAAATGTAATTTGTTTAGATTTTTGATATCTTTTTACAATATTTTTAGAAAAATTTAAAAACTTAATTATTTTTTTCAGAGCGGTGAACATTCCCTTAATTATAGGTATGGTCAGATTCAAAATAAAAAGAAACGCCCTGCTCAATCTGTTGACACTGGAAAGTAGGGAGAAGAGTGATGTCCCAGACAAGGTTGTAATTAAATGACAAAAATAAATAAATAAATAATTAAGTAAATACATAATAAACCACAAATGAGTATTATTCTATTTTTAGTTTCAAGTGAATCTTCATCATGCAAAGCAGTGCTCAGCAGAAGATTTACCATAATGGCCCTGGGTTAATAATGGTAGAGTATTGGGATGCTCTTCAAACAATTGTAAACTTTTGTATGACGAGAGTCAATCTAAACCAAGAACTGCAATTTTAGTAAATAGGAGAACGAAATTCGTCCCAATTACTGAATTTATTGGCAGAGATATCGTTGCGATCAAGATGGAGGTTCCAACGACACGAGGAAAAACGAAGGGGTATTTTTTTTATTTGTTTTTCGTCGATCTTGTTTCCCGTGCTGAGCACCAATGCTACCGATGCCAGGAAGGCAGCTCCCACACCTAGACCCTACCTATCGACTCAGCAACTCATTAATCGAGGACCAACGGCTTTACTTGGCGTGATCAGAGATGTTATGCCTCAGAACATCCCCACCGCGCCGACTGGGATTGAGCCCAGGCCTGCTGGGGTGAGAGGCAATCACGCTTACCACTACACCACCGGCACCACTTGAGGTATGTGTTGCTTCAGCTTATTTCCCAGGAGATGTTGATGACGTCCATCCTTCTACGGTCGCATATTTTGTCAACTACTGTACAAAAATAAACACTCAATTTATAATAAGGTGCGATGCAAATGCTCATCACATACTATAATGTGGGGGAAGTACCGATATTAATAAAAGAGGTGAGGACCTTCTGAATTACATATCGTCTAATGATATTGACATATGTAATAGAGGAAATTCTCCAACATTTATCAATGTAGTTCGACAAGAGGTTCTCGATCTTACACGCATAAATTTTTTCGCCGAGATTCCAACAGCCGAGTAGTTTTGCACAGGCTTGGGAATTTTCAACCTCATGACGATAAACTATGTAACAAAGACAAAAAAAAAAGTCAACGCTCATCTAACAAGTACGATGCAACAAACTTCTGAAAAGACTGATCTACTGGGCTGTCTCTCAACGAAACATTTTCTATTCTTGTCGTTCTCTCATTTGGTCGCGAAACATCTGTTGCGTGACGTTTTATAGCGAATTTGTTTATTATCGAGGTTGGAACCAGGGCGAAACCGAACTTTTAGTCAGTGCGAACCTCTACCTGAGGTTTTAAAAATAAACGATCAAACTGACGTTTGTCAGAAAACAAGCAGAGCCGATCTTGATACCCGATCCAGGTTGGAACTGAATAATAAACATATTCGCTATTAGTTGATTCACGTACGTCGGACGACAAGATTGACGGAAACTGTTGACATGGTTATTGACGAAAAAAGTCTGTCATGTTATTCTTCCATTCTGTCGCGACAAAACTGCCGCTGGTCGTTTTCTAGTAAATGCATGTCACTTTGCATACGAGACATAACAATATTGAAATAACTGGAATTGTGTTGTTTTGACGGGATTTCACCTCTGACTCGAAGTAACTTGAATCTTGACGCTGACCTTCGTGTTTGCAAGTATCTAAGTGATTTCTAGTGATGC